GCAAGGTCAGCAGTTCTAAACTACCAGCTGCTCCGCTGGAGAAATATGCTTTCTGCTCCCATAAAGATTTACAGCCTCAGAAACCCTGTTCAGGGTCGCTATGGGTCGGAATGGACTCGATGGCACTTAACAACAATTTCACTCAGCATAATGTCCTCAAGGTTCATCCATTTTATGCAGTGGCTTGCAGATGCAGCTTCCTTGTTGTTTAAGGTAGCATCATATTCCATTGTGTGTATGTACCACAGTTTATCCATTCTGAAATTGATGGGTACTTTAGGCCGTTTCATGTTTTTGCTATTGTACATAAATATTGGTGTGCATATATCTTCTCGGATTGTGGCTCTTTTTCTTGTGGGTAAATACCAAGAAGAGGAATTGCTGGATCATAAGGAAACGCCATATTGCTTTCCAGAGAGGCTGGACCATTTTGCAGTCCCTCCAACAACGTAGGTGGGTCCCAGTCTCTCCACATCCTCACCAGCATTTATTGTCCGCTACTTTGTTTTTTATCTTTGCTGTTATTGCTGGCGTGAGATGATATTTTATTGTTGTTTTGATTTGCATCTCTCTGATGGCTAGTGATCATGAACATTTATTCATACATTTATTGGCTGACCTGATCTTCTTGGTGAATTGTCTATTCATGTCCCATGCTCTTTTTTTAATTGAGTTATTTGTCTTTTTCTTGTAGAGCTGTTGTAATTTCCTGTATATTTTAGAAATCAGTTCCTTCTCCGATGTGTTGTGACATAAGATTTCTTCCCATTCTGTGGGTTCCCTTTTTACTCTTCTGGTGAAGTCTTTTGATACACATAAGATTTTAATTTTTATTATGTCCCAATCATCTATTTTGTCTACTTTTTTTGTGTAGTTTTGAAAATGTTTGGTAGACTGTGTATGCCCTGAATTAAAGCCTTCACATTTGTCCCTATGTTTTAAGTGATGACCTTCATAATTTGGGGATTCACATTTAGGTCTTTAATCCATGCTGAATTGGTTTTTGTATAAGACACGAGGTAAAGTAAAGGTCTTGTTTCAATCTTTTGCATATCGCTTTTTGGGTCTTCCAGCACCATTCTGTTAAAGAGATTATCTCCTCCCCATTCAATGTACTTAGGCACTTTGTCGAAAATCAGTTGGCTGTAGGTGGGTGGGTTAATTTCTGGATTCTCGATTTTGTTCCATTGATCAATGTATCTTTCATTGTACCAGGCTGCTTTGACCACTGTAGCCATGTAGTAAATTTTGAAATTGGGGAATGAGAGGTATCCAGCCTTGTTCTTCTGAAGCAGTGCTTTGCTTATTCTGGGTCTCTTTCCTTTCCATATAAAGTCTGTAATTGTTTTTTCCATCTCTTTGAAGAATGTCATTTGAATCTGGATTGGGATCGCGTTGTATGTGTATGTGTAAATTACTTTGGGCAGTATTGACATTTTCACAATGTTGAGTCTTCTTATCCAGGAACATGGTACATTATTCCACTTTTGTAAATCTTTTGGTTTCTTGTAGTAGTGTTTTGTAGTTTTCTTTGTATAAGTCCTTTGTTTCTCTGGTTACATTTATTCTTAGATATTTCATCCTTTGGGTGGCTATTGTAAATGGTATTGCTTTCCTGATGTCCTTTTCAGTGTTGTTGTTTTTGGTTTAGAGGAATCCAACTGAATTTTGTATGTTGATCTTACATC